GGGGGGGGGGGGGGGGGGGGGGGGGGGGGGGGGGGGGGGGCGGGGGGGGGGCAGTCCGGCGCTGGGGTTCTGAGGGTGGTCAGGGGACAGTGAGCGGGGCGGCTGGATAGGATAGGGGACCCAGGGGGCCGTCAGGGGACAGGGGGGTTGGATGGGGCAGGAGTCCCAGGGGCGCCATCAGGGGGTGAGAAGCAAGGGGGGTAGATAGGGGACGGGGGCTGGGCCTGGCTGTTTGGGGCGGCACAGCGTCCCCTAACCAGCCCTCCATACAATTTTGGAAACCCAATGCGGCCCTCAGGCCAAAACGTTTGCCTGCCCCTGCACTAAAAACAGTCTGGCAGTAGAGGCAATGGGGTGGTTTCAGTTGAATCCTGCCCTGCACTCACCCAGCAGTGATGGCTCCTGCAGTTCTTGTGCTGTGGGGCTGGCTGGACTTGGCACGGCGCTCTGCTCCAGGCATTGCAACTTCCGGGGTTGCAGCACCGCTCAAGTTTGGCCCTGCCTCCTTGACTGGACCAAATTTGTGAGAGTGGAGTTGTGACCTGGGGGTTGTAGTGCCACTCACTCAAACTGGCATATCCGGACTCCCATCATCATGACATTGGGCCAAACCTGAGGGGCTCTGGGACCCCAGAGGTTGCAGTGCCTGGAAGAGGTAGGCAAGCACAGCCATCCCCTTGGGACAGGAGCTGCCATGCGACCTTTTGAAACATGCTGGAGACCCAATTTTGGGTCCTGACCCATGGGTTGAGAAACCTGGTCTATACTACCAACTTATGTCAGTATAGCTACATCGCTCAGGAAAATCCACCCCCCAAGCAACAAAGTTATACCAACCTAACCCCCCAGTGCAGACAGCACTATGTTGACAGGAGGGCTTCTCCCTTCGACACAGCTACCGCCTCTCGGGATACCCACATGGATGGGAGAAAGGCATAAGCAGTGTCTTCACTAAGTGGTGAGCTGTGCTGCAGAATGTAAACAAGCCCTGAGTAAGTTTTCCAGACCCGAAGAAGAGCTCTGTGTGCAAAGGAGCAAATGCTTTTCAAATGTTTTGAAACAAACATATTTGCATTTGTTATGGCTACACATAAAATGATATTAATGATTTCAGCTCTTAATATACTTTTATAGATAATCTGCAGTTTACCAGCAGAAACTATAGCAACTGCTATATTGCATTCCTTGCACTTTTCATCACTGGCAGGCAATGTTTTCTCTCTCCTTACCTCAGAGGCAACTATCAAAAAATATAGCAATCACTTTAAGGAGCTATTTTAACATGAAAATATGAAAGCAATAATAATGAACTAGCAATTTTTTTTAAAATATATCTTGGTGTTATTTGATCTCAACAGAGAACTTATATTTTCATATAAAAAGGTAGTGTTGGTCAAGTACTTACTTTCATACAGCAGGGCAATCTGGTTATATTATGACAAAACCTGCAACATTTCATCAACATTTAAGTTTACAAAAAGTAGCAGTTACAATATACTTTTAAAAGAAAGAAAACACTGAATATTGAACTCTTCCTACCTTCAGTAACTTTACTGCACAAATCAAATTGTTGTCCACAGGATTAGAAAAAAGCGCATTCAGTAATTCCCGAAGGCCAGTCTGCAGAATCTCTGCTCGCATTACTTGCCCTTTTGTTCCCTTAATCTACAAATGACCAAAAACCATGTCTGAACACTTAAAATGGATTCAAATTATTTCTAAAGTTTGCTATAAAGGTTTCCCCTCTTCAATTCTGTACAGGTCGATGTGATAATACAGCAATTGGACTTGACAGGTGGAGGAATATGAAAAAGTTTAATAAAAACTCCAAAAAAAATTCTGAAGTAGCTTTTCTATAAAATTTGACATACAGCATACTTGCTGGATGGTATTGCATAATGACTGTATTAGCACTTGTTTGGGAGGACCTACATAAATGCGTGTGACACTTCCCCATTCATGAGTGACAAAGGTCATCCCAAGCTCTTGAGAATAAAAACCTTTCTACCACACCATTACGTGCCCTATTTCCCCTCCAGATCACATTTGGAAAGTTCTCTTTGTAATTAGAAGTTCTAGAAACTGTTTTTTAAAATAAAGGTTAGATTCTGCAAGACCTGATGGCTGTCACCTGGGAAAAGTCTGACTGCCATCAGCAAATGAGCAAATTTCAAGTATCTAAAAGGGTGTCATAAGGAGGAGGGAGAAAGCTTGTTCACCTTAGCCTCTAAGGATAGAACAAGAAGCAATGGGCTTAAACTGCAGCAAGGGAGGTCTAGGTTGGACATTAGGAAAAAGTTCCTAACTGTCAGGGTGGTTAAACACTGGAATAAATTGCCTAGGGAGGTTGTGGAATCTCCATCTCTGGAGATATTTAAGAGTAGGTTAGATAAATGTCTATCAGGGATGGTCTAGACAGTATTTGGTCCTTCCATGCGGGCAGGGGACTGGACTCGATGACCTCTTGAGGTCCCTTCCAGTCCTAGAATCTATGAATTTATAAATGGCTTTTTTTAGGTCTAGTTATAAAAAAAATTAATGTGCAATACATACATTTCTTTTGTGATTAGGTTCCCCAAAACAGCAAAGCACATATTTAACTTATTGGAACATTCAATTAAATTGAAACATGCACCAAATTTAAAAACCAATGAAAGGAAATATACGTTCTAAAAATCTCATCACATATTCACCGATGAAACTCACCAGGGTAAGATAAAAAAATCATCATATATATGGAAAATGAACTGGCATGCTTCAAGGCATAAGCCAAGTTCTAACTGATAAGAGTTAGGAAGGAACTTCCCCTATCAGCTGGTTCTTGGATTTGAGTACAGTAATATATATTGTGGTGGTTTCACCAGGCAAAAATCTCATTTCAAAACAGAGAAAGGAGACACCTCATGCTGACTGGTTTGCCCTAGCTTAAGAAAGAAAGATAGACAGCATCCACATCAAATACTGACTTTAAGAAAGTTGCTCTTATTATGATTTATTAGAAGCATTTTTAGTCTCTAAATGGCTTGTTCTTGGGTTGTTTTCTGAGACTGATGATAATGAATCAGTTTTGAAGTCCCTAGATGGTTAAAGGTTCAATGACATAAAAGATTAAAATAGAAGATCAAATTTTATTAATCTGTTTTTTTTTAAAAGAAATTTTAAATGAGTAACAAAAAAGGGCCACGATACAGAACTTTTTTCTTACCTCGAGGTTAAGATAAAGTTCAGCTAAGAAAAGCACAAAAGCATGAAATTGTTTTCGAGTAGCCTCATCACCTTTTGCTGCTTGATCTCTGTTTTCATACTCCGTTCGACACCTACAAAAACATCTTCAGAATCAAACTACTGTTACTGCTAGAAATTTTAGTGTTCATAAGAGATAGCGTGTTAAACAGTTAAAATGCTGTGAACTACTAAACTGGATAGAAAATATCAATAAAAAAGGGACTGATTCATGAAGCAATGTATAGACTTCATACAGACAATATGAATTTTTTTCTTTTACATTAATTAACTTAATTGTATGATTTCAAAAAAGGCAGTGTTTTCTCGTCCTGAAAGAATGGAAGCAGACAGCAGAATGGAACAGAACATATTAATTTTTTTAAATTATATCACTGATATGTATTATTTCCCTACAGTGTCCCTATACAAGTTAAATATTGTTAAGTGGGTCCAAGAAGATGTAACTTACACACAGTGAGTAGAAGTTGAGTAGGGATACTTTAAATGATAGTTTCTCATATCCTTCTATTAGTGGCTTCATGTGCAACACCACAGACTATTTTACACCACTTATAAACATGTATCACCCATATAACCTTGGCCCATCAGTTATAAATTATTGATATGTATAGTTTAATTGTAAATCAAAATGAGATGACGGACTACAGTTGAATGGAAATACAGAACATAAAAAAGATGAAAGGGAATAAGGGGCAGTTTTGTATAGAAATCTAAGTACCCGTACCAAACAAGCTCTTTGGAAATGTGCATACCAATACACAGCAACAGAGAATCTCATGGACCAATCCTTTTCATTATCAAGCATTGTCAGTGATAATTTGATGGAACAGAAAGGGACCTGGCTTTGAAGTATGACTGATTTAGGATTATGTTTGGATAGAAGAACATGCAAGTTAAGGTTGGCATAAATATTAATGTTATTTCCTGGATTTTCAGTGTCAACACTGATAAGAAAATCACATGAGCAACCTTAACTAAGTTTTCTAGATGGACTAACAAGGCAAACCTTCCTGAACACATTTGTGTTTCTAAGCCCAGTTTTAGAGAGCTGAGCATGATTGTGGTTTGATGGATTGATTTTGGGACTGGAAACCATAAACTTTTACTCCAAAATACTGACGCGGATTTGCTATATTGGTCTTGGGCAAGTCTTATTCTCCCTGCTTCTTTCAAGCATAAGCTTCTATAGCTTTTCTTCCAAAGTGCTATCTGTGATGCTGGCAGATGAGGTGCCAGTTCATGCCAAGGCCCCTAAGCCTCACTGAACACAAATGACAAATGCATTGCTGGAAACCAATCTGGCTCACCTGTGTGTTACTATTGTTAAAATAGATATTAGAGTTTTAAGAATGTATTAATGTATTAAGAATGTTAAGAATGTTTTAAGAATGTATTTAGTGTTTAGACTTTATGAAATGCTTGTATGATGCTGCATGTATTAATCTTACTAATATTATCCGCATCATCAGGTGATATTTAAGTGTTTGCTCTGTAACTATAAAAAGTGTGCTAAGATTATAAACCCCACAGCCAGGAGAGAAGCATTACCAAGTGCAATATACTAGTCTACCACAAGAGACATCATCTCCTCCTCCAACAAAAGAAGGCCTATAGCACCAGACAAACCATTATAGAATATCAGTAGACAAAATACTTTGTTGATTGCTTCCCTCACACCTATGAAGACAGCAGGGGACTGGACTAGATGACCTCTCGAGGTCCCTTCCAGTCCTACGATTTTATGATTCTAGGTGCACAAGTCCTCATCCCATCACAGATTGAACGCTAGGGGAAGGGAATAGAAATCCTCGTTAAGGAGAAATCATCATTACTATGCTGCTTGGAATTGGGAGAGGGCAATAGTTCTAAACATAAGCCAGGGATCCCAAGTCACTTAGTTTGGTTAGCCCTAAAAGACATAGTGCTTGCATATATAGCAGCTACTATCACCTTTTTGGAACTTAAGACTGTAACACATGTGTGTGTATGGTTATCTGCTTTAACCTTGTAAATAACTCATTTCTTTTTCCTAATTAATAAATCTTTAGTTAGTTTATTACAGAATTGGCTACAAGCATTGTCTTTGGCGAGAGATCTAAGACATAACTGACCTGTGGTAAGTGACTGGCCCTTTGGGATTTGGAGTAACCAGAATATCATTGTGATTTTTGGTGGAAGGGACCATCTATGACAAATGCAGGCTTGCACGGGTGACAAGATAAACTGGAGTGCCCCAGGGGACTGTCTGTTATAGTGCTTGTCAAGTTCACATTTGTTACTTGATTGATGAAATCTAATACAAAACATTATGGCTGCTGATTAATTGCAATAACAAAAAAAATCAATCGAGTTTTAAAAAATTAATTGTGATTAATTGCACTGTTAAACAATAGAATACCAACTGAAATGTATTAAATATTTTTGGATTTTTTCTACATTTTCAAATATAGTGGATTTAAATTACAACACAGAATACAGAGTGTACAGTATTCCCTTTAAATTATTCTTATTACAAATATTTTCACTGTAAAATGTTTAAATAGTATTTTTCAATTCATTTCATACAAGTACTGCAGTGCAATGTCTTTATCATGAAACGTAACTTACAAATGTAGATTTTTTTTTAAATACATAACTGCACTCAAAAACAAAACAATGTAAAACTTTAGAGCCTACAAGTCTACTTAGTCCTACTTCTTGTTAAGCCAATCACTAGGACAAACAAGTTTGTTTACATTTATGGGAGATACTGCTGCCTGCTTCTTATTTACAATGTCACCAGAAAGTGAGAAGAGGTATTCGCATGGCACTTCCGTAGCCGGAGTTGCAAGGTTTTTACATGCCAGATATGCTAAACATTCTTATGCTCTTCCATGCTTCGGCCACCATTCCAGAGGACATGCTTCCATGCTGATGATGCTGATTAAAAAAAATAAATGCGTAAATTAAATTTGTTACTAAACTCCTTGGGGGAGAACTGTATGTTTCGTGTTCTGTTTTACCTGCATTCTTCCATATATTTCATGTTATAGCAGTCTCAGATGATGACCCAGCACGTTTGTTTTAAGAACACTTTCACAGCAGATTTGACAAAATGCAAAGAAGGTATGAATGTGAGATTTCTAAAGACAGCTACAGCACTTGACCCAAGGTTTAAGAATCTGAAGTGCTATCCAAAATCTGAGAGGGATGAGGTATGGACCATGTTTTCAGATGTCTTTAAGAGCAACGCTCCAATGCGGAAACTACAAAATCCAAACCACCAAATAAGAAAAATCAACCTTCTGCTGGTGGCATCGGACTCAGATGATGAAAATGAACATGTGTGGGTCCGCTCTGCTTTGGACTGTTACACTGCTGTACAGCCAAAATGCTTCTGAAATAAATGTAATCA